GCTCGTGCTCGCTCGAGTCAAGTAACTGAGACCTCTCCCTCTGTGTGCTTTGTTGCAGACAAGGATGCAGAGTTTGCAGCCGGACCCCAAAGCCCAATACAGGAGTGTGTACGAAGCACTGAAGAAAATTGTTCTCACGGAGGGTTTCTGGAGGCCTTTACGTGGGATTAATGTCACCATGCTGGGGGCTGGCCCAGCCCACGCAATGTACTTTGCCTGCTATGAAAAAATGAAAAAGACTCTAAGTGAGACTATTCAGCATGGAGGAAACAGCCACTTGGCCAATGGTATTTTTTTTTTTGCACAAAAAAGCTTGCAGTTAACAGCCTGTCCCTTGCTTGCTTCATGCACTTTAGTGTGGCATCCTTCACTGTGCTCTGCTCCTGGAAGAACTGCTGTAGGCACCCTGCTTTCAGACTGACCCTGTAAATATCCGTACGGGAGGATGCAAGACACAAGCGTAGCCCCGGCTTGCAGGCCTCGGCCCCCGCTATGGGGAGTGCTGGAAAGGCAGGGGGAAGTCAGGTACGCAAGTGTGGCACCTGCCCTCTAGTTCAGTGCTTTACGCTGCTCACCACGCTCCTCTGAAATCCGTGTCCCGTCTTAGGACTGCTGAGCACTTGGTAAATCTCTTTTCCAGAGGGTACTGAGCCGATATGGGAGGTCTTTGCTGCAGCAGTATCTAACCAACGAGTCAAAGCTGTAATATACCATGCAGAGGAGCTCTGAAGCAACTTCTCCTGAAGTATGTTTTTGCTTCAAGTGGACTTTTCCCTTCCATGGGGAAGGCAGGGGAGCTGCTTACCAGCCAGTGGTTAGATATACCACCTTGAGCATGGAGAATTTGAGAGGCTGTCTTGCACGAACAGATGCTGGGGCAGTTTCTGTCCGGGGAAAGGTAAGCTATGCTCCTAGCTAGCTATCTGAGGCTGCTGCACTCCAAGCCACTCAGAAGATCACATGTGGCTGGGCTGGCTGTCAGCATCAGAGTAGAAAAGCACTCCCTGACCTTAAATCCATGACGGCATCTTCCAAAACCTTAGTCTAATCCAGACTTCTGCACTGAATCTGATTTCAAATGACTCTAGTGGGTGTAATCAATACATTGGACACGAGGTGTACAGGAGGTAGTCACAGGCTGTTTCTGGTTTTATGCTTGAAGGTATCATCTAAATCTCTTCTCATGAGGTTTGAAGTAGAGGCTCTCCTCATTCCAGATGACTCCCTTGTTGGAGCTCCAGCATGGTAAAGTGCACTGCATCTGCTGTGTAACTTGCATGCTTTTCTTAAAGATTTTGCTTCTGCCAAGGAGGCTTTTGCTTTTAGATACTGTGACAGCAGAAGCCCTCTAGTTGGACAGCCAGACTTGTTATAAAATGTGCTGTGCAAAAGACATTTCTTCTTGGTCCGTGATATGATGTGACAGTAGGAATCTGCAATGACAGTCACTTGACTTGGCCCAACCAACTGAGTTAAGGATATGAGATCTTTCTGGCTTGCTGCTTTTTCCTAGTAATGTGCTTCCTATGTTTGCCTTTCAAGTAGCTACAGGCTTGCAGTACCAGCGGGAAAACTGAAGTGTTGCATTAATGAGAAAAATGACCGAAAGTCATTTGGGCAACAGAGAATTTGCGATGGAAACCTACATCAAAGGAAAAGGTGTGGCTCGAGAGGCCCATCCTAGAGCAAACTGCAGAATCATTAATGACTGGCTGGATGTTTGCAGAATCCAGGCAATTAGTGTTTAAAACTAGCCTGAGTAAACGGATGAAAATGCCTAATTACAGATGCACTGAGGCGATTTTAAGCGTTGCTCAGTCCGGAGCGAGCTGCGTTAAGCTGATGATGCCTTGCGTAGACGAAGCCGTGTCGGTGGTTGTAGGGGACAGCAAACGTGACTGGTACGGAGCTGGGTCACGTTTAGCAGCGCGTTGGCTTGCCACTCTTGTGAGTGGATTCTGGTTTCTGTCAAAGCTCCCTGGCCCGGGTCCGCGGTGCAGGAAGGCAGCCTGGTTAGCGAGTGCTTTGGTGGGGCCGCGGGACCTGGGCGCTCGGTGCTTTGTGCACACGGATGTACGGGCTGCCGGTGCCAGCAGCAGCTAGCGGCAGCGCCGGAGCCAACCCCTGACCGATGGCCTCCGAGTCCTTTTGTGAAGGATGCTCTTCTGTCTTGCAGGTATAGCTGGGAGCGTGGCCACGTTACTCCACGATGCAGTAATGAATCCGGCTGAAGGTAATGCCCAGGGCTGCTGGGGAAGTGCTGCAGAACGAAAGCGCTGCACCTTCTTAGCCCAAGGGGTCCTTGGTGCCTCCCAGGCTATCTTGGCGCGCTTTAGGAGGAACCCTTTGCTTTAGTGACCCTTGTTGCCCAATTTTTTTTAATGAGATCAGATAGGCTAACGCAGCTCTTCAGGGCCGGCATAAAGGGAGAAATCCTGCCCAGGCCCGACTGGCCATTGCAGCTTGCAGAGGGGTTGCTGGTAAGACTCCCCTTGGTGGCACAGTGTGTCAGGACTTTCCAAGAGAGCGTCTCACCTTTAGGCGCGCTCCAGCTTGGTTACCCGATCATGCAGCCTCTGGTCTTTCCTTAGCAGGAACAGCTTTAGTAACACGATGCTGTTCCTCCTCTGCTGGTAAATCTGTACTAAAGCAACTGTGGTTTCTCTGAAGCTCTGTGGACTACCAAAACAAAACTGAACTCAGTCATGTTGTCAAACAAGTAGAGTGGCTGTTAGAGCCACGGCATGGCTGTCCAGGATAAGCGAAACCTAGCAGAGAAAGGAGTAACAGTAAAATGCATCCAAAGTGAAGGCTGAATAGCAGCCAGTCCAGCTCGTTAAGTTGTCGTATGTTGTACTCCAGAGCTGGACCAAAGGCAAGTTTTTCTGAAGGAAAAAGGTCTCCTGTTTAAAAACCTTTTAAATGTCAAGTTTGCTTAAGCGATCGCTTGCGGATGTCAAGTGATGTTAAATGACTTGGGGCAGGGTTGTCTGGATGTTGTAACGGCCAGGTAAGGTGTGCGTTAACCAGTGTGTTTATCTCCCTGCCTCTCTATGCCGTCCGGTGCCGCCTGCCCTGCGTTCGTCTCCCCGGCTGTCTCCTGGACCAGTGGTGAAGCAGCGGATGCAGATGTTCAACTCCCCTTACAAATCCGTCCTGGCATGTGTAAGGACAGTGCAGAAGACAGAAGGGTTTGGTGCCTTCTACCGCAGCTACACCACCCAGCTCACCATGAACATCCCCTTCCAGGCCATTCACTTCATCACCTATGAGTTCATGCAAGAGCAAATCAACCCTCGCCGGGAGTATAACCCTCAGTCGCACATCGTCTCCGGCGCCCTTGCGGGGGCTGTGGCTGGGGCGGCCCCCCCCCCCCGTCTGCAAGACCCTGCTCAACACGCAAGAAAACATGGCCTTGAGCTCGGTGAACATCAGCGGGCACCTCTCGGGCATGGTGAACGCCTTCAAGACTGTCTACCAGCTCGGGGGCATCTCGGGGTATTTTAGAGGGGTGCAGGCACGTGTCATTTACCAGATGCCTTCAACGGCCATTGCGTGGTCAGTGTATGAATTCTTTAAGTACTTTCTCACAAAGCACAAGCTGGAGAAAAGAACATCCTTTTGAAGGACTTAGCAAGAGTGAATGCAAGCGTCCATGTCCCCTCTGTGCGTGTCCGCGCCTGTGTGCGAGCCAGCAAGCTCTGGGTCTCTGATAAGGAACGTACCAGGTTTCTGGTGGATTCACAGCTGAAGTCCACTTTTCCCCTCTGGGGGAAGGAGGGTTTAAGTGGTCCTCAGTGACGTGTTCCCCTTGTTGCGCAAACAATGAAATAGATTATAAAGCATTATAATAATATATATATTTAATTAATAACTTTATTTTGGAGACGTGAATTTGCTAACTGATATTTTTCTCTGAATATGTCTGAAGATGTAGTTTACTTCCTCACCAGGAGGCTTAGGTTTTACAGCCTAGGCTGTTTTTTTTACAGCAAAGAAGCAAAATATCCTGTCACAGAACTTTTTATATAAATATAAAATAGATGGATAATGTTTATCCTTTATTTTTCTATATAGACATTTGGTTTGTTTTTTAAATACTATTACAGCTAGGTGCTGAGCTGTTTAAAAAGGGCTACATTCTTCCACCACGTGTAAGGAAGACACGAGAGCATTTATTTTTATAGCCAGATTGGCTTTAATTATGCAGCATTTGGACCCCGATCAGTGGCCTGGTTTCTCATGTGGATGTCAAGGTACTTGGTAACCCCTTGAGACTTGCTGGGGATGCAAGGAGAAGGAATGGGGGCAATACTTGCTTTGGGAAGCTAGGAGATCGAGTGGAGCACCCAAAAGACCTGGTCACTTTGGGGCGGAGGGGAACTCTATCAGTTCCTTTTATTTTTTTTTTTACAAGGAAACTCTTAATGTAGATTTTACAGACTAGTATTTTTTTGCAAACACTTTTTTTTTTTTTAAAAAGGTACATTTTTATGGTGTGTGTGATAGCTAAACAGGCTTCATCCTCTGTTAATTTATTCATACTTTCACTAAGGGCCCGATCCTGCTCGCAGGAGCAGCCCTGCACCTCCGGATGGCTCACGGGGTCTGACCGGGCTGCATCGAGCCGCTCTGCCCCGGCGCGCGGAGCAGAGCTTCGGTGTGGCGCTCGGCAAAATCGTGCCTGCTTTGGAAGGGTATCGAACTCTAATCTTCCTCTTTTGGGGGAAAGCTCCTTTTGGGGGGGAGGATGGCGCTTCCCTGTGCATCCTTCGTGTTTCGCCTCGGTACGACGGCTCCTTCGCAGCGCCAGTGCTGGGGGCGAGGGCAGCCGTCCAGATGGTGTGCGCCGGCCGGGGCCCGAGTC